GACGATCGGACGAAGAGCAGCACTATGCGTCGTACTGCCTTTGACTGGTGGTCTGTTGATGATGTGTGGTGGTGGTGGTGGTGTCGGGCTGAGCGGCGGATCCCCGTGCGGGTGCTTGATTATGCGTGTCAGACAAGCTGCGATGAGCCAGCATCCAGGGTCGTGGGCAAGGGGCGCCGGTGTCACAGTGGCAGGTTCTGTGTCCTGCAGAGTGCTGCAGAGGGGAGCCTTGCTGCAGAGGGGAGCCTTGCTGCAGAGGGGAGCCTTGCTGCAGAGGGGAGGAGCCGCAGGTCAGGGTCGAGGTAGATGGAGGTTTGAGGTTGAGGACGAAAAAGAAAAAGCAAGCCGGTTGTAGCGAGTGGACGGCCACCAAGGCGCCAGAGGTGACGATGACAGGGATCCTCGCGAGGGTGGATGCGACGCGGCGTGGTTACTGTGCCTGTTGAGGTGGAGGAGGAGGAGGAGGAGGAGTGGCCCAAGGTCGAAGAATGGATGAATCTGGGGCGGCGGTCCCTCGTCAGACTCTGCTCCGAGAGTCAGGATGGTGTGGTGGATTTGGCAAGTCTCGAGATGGAGGATATTGGAGATGAGCAACCCCACTTCGGGCTGGCGGGGAGTTGGCAAGATGCCATCTTCTTTCTTGCTTGGCCTTGGTGGGAGCGACGACGAGGAAGAGGCCGCCCCGATGATGATCGACAGCGCTGGCCGACCAAGCCCCAAGCCACCCAAGCAAGGTGTGCCTCCGGGTGCCAAGTGCTGCTCCCCAAGGCCCCAGGCCCGAGGCCCTAAAGGCCCCAAAGGCCCCAAAGGCCCCAAATGCTCAAATGCTCAAATGCTCAAATGCCCCACCACGCAGGAACGAATGACGACTTCCTTCAGCGCGCGACCCAGGCAAGCCAGGATGTGGTGGCAGGGGAGACCCCTCCAACACTGGTGGCTGTGGCTCATGCTGAAACAACCAATGCCAGCCAACCTTTGGACGCTGTCTTCTTTTTTTTTTTTTTTTTTTTTTTTTTTTTTTGCCTCTGGAGGCTTCCTTGTTGCGTTGGAGGGGGAGAAGGCCTGCCTGTCTGCCTGTCTGCTGTTCGCCTCACCCTCCAAGTCACCCCCTCGTTCACACGATGATTTGGCGTCACTCTACCAATTGCACGTCGATAAACATCGATAGTAAGCACAGCGAAGATGCTGGATGCCATCAACAGATCAACATCAATTCGCCTGTTTCGAAAAAATGGAAAATGAGAAAGAAGAAAGACGGACTAGCCGGTGCCCACCACGCACAATGGCAACGGATGCTTCGGAATGCGATTACTACCAGGACATGCCCTTCTTGGAACGCCATCCACTTCACCACATCCTGCCCTGGTACCTATCAATAGACCCAGGTCGACGTCGCCAGGAACGCGGGAGGGTGTCAGGGTCTCATCCCATGTCTCATCTCCCTTCATGGTCGTCCACCCGCCACTCCCAAAGCCTCGATCGGCGCCTCTGGCAACCTTCCATTCTGATGCTGTCTGTCACTGCGGCTACCTGGTTGAGCTGCCGACTTGTACGTACATGTACAGTACCTAGGTATCCAACAACTTGGACTTCCCATTGGTACATGTGCTGTAATGACAGCGTCGCGTTTGTGTGCCACAAGTGCGACGTCACAGGCAGGCTACTGACTCGAAGCGTAATGCTGTGAGCGCCGTACATGTACAGCATCGCAATAGTCGAGGCCAGGAGGTTTGCCTCGAAGACGAGCTGTTGTGTTCCCGCAAACTCCCCTTCGACTTTGACCCACCTGGCTCGCTGCCTGGCCCATTTCCTCTTCAGCCTCTTCACATGCGCCCGTCCTCCTCGTCGACCTCTTGCTGGTTTCTCTACTCTTCTCTCTCTGGTGCGCAACGTGCCACGGATCGCATCTCGACTTCCAAGTGTCACGGTCCAGCATGAGGCATGAGAGCATGCGCCAACGCGTCTTCACGTGATCGTGCTTCAGACCCGAAATGAACATGCACTGCTCTGCTACCATTGGCTCACTTGGGATGACGCTTTCCATGGTGGGGTGGTGGCTTCAGTGATGTGATCAATCGTCTTACAGATTCAGACAGACGTCTACAGAATATGGAAAGGTGAGAGCCTGCATTTATCAGAACCCTCCGGTCCATCGTCTTGCGATTGCTATCTGGCCCTCCCAGCACAGCAGGCCCTCTTCCGTTTTTTTTTTCTTTCTTCCTTCTCCAATTGGGTCTGACATGCACAGATGCGAATTGAGACGCCTCGGAATCTCTAGGCACGCGTATCGTTGAACCGTCTGGTCGACGCAGCAACATTGTGTCTGACCCGAGGGCAACCCCCAAAATCTCCCCATCATGGCCACCATGACGGGCGAATCCGCGCCCATCGTGCCGGACGCACCATCCGAGACGTCGCCTCTGCTTGGCCCCGAGATTGGACGTGTGAGGGCCGGTTCCGAGGATGCTAGCAGCACTGCAGTGTCAACCCAGTCACCAAACGATGACGAGCATGTTCAAGGCAAGCCACGGTCGGCCAACAAGATGCAAGTGATCATATTGGCCGTAGGCATTGGTGTAAGGAGACATGAAGGCAACACGAGCAGCAACCAAGTACTGACATGGGCAGATCTTTCTCTCTGCCGTTGACCAACTCCTCACCCTGGCAACATATGCCAAGATTGGCTCTGAACTTCAGGCCCTGAACAACACAAGCTGGATAGCCACGGCGTGCGCTCCCCGCCAGACATGGTCCATTATTTACATCACGGCTAATTTTGTCCTAGGTACTTCATCACGCTCACCAGCACACAGCCGCTGTATGGCAGGCTGTCTGACATCTTTGGCCGCAAAGAGTGCCTCCTCTTCTCTTACACAATCTTTGGTCTCGGTTGCCTCGGCTGTGGTCTCGCCCAGAATTTCACGCAACTCTGCGTCGCCCGCGCCATTGGCGGCATCGGTGGCGGTGGCATGAACAGCGTTGTCAGCATCCTCATGAGTGACATTGTGCCCCTTCGAGACCGCGGCCTCTGGCAGGGCTACATCAACATCATCTTCGCCGCTGGCACCTCGACCGGCGCGCCCCTCGGCGGTCTCCTTGCCGATTCGATCGGTTGGCGCTGGTCCTTCCTCGGCCAGGTTCCCATCTGTGCCGCTGCCTTTATTGCAGTCTACTTCGTCCTCGATCTCCCCAGGACCGATCATTCCCACTGGCGTGCCAAGATTGCTCGCATCGACTTTCTCGGCGCTGCCACCCTCGTGTCGGCTGTCGTTGCTCTCCTCGTTGGCCTCGATGCGGGCTCCAACCAGGGCTGGGGCCACCCCCTGACCCTGACAACCCTCGCCTTGACGCCTGTCCTGTTTGCCGCGTTCATCGGCGTCGAGATGCGCATCGCGTCGCACCCCTTCGCGCCGGGCCACATCATCTTCGACCGCTCGCTCTTCGCCTGCTACCTGACCAACTTTTTCGGCGTAGCGGGCCACATCACCACCATTTTCAACCTGCCCCTCTTCTTCCAAGTCGTGCAGGGCGCCTCCGCAACCCGCGCCGGCACCCTCCTCGTGCCCCCCATGATCGCCTCCGTCATAGCCTCCCTCGGCGCCGGCTTCATCATCCGCCGTACCGGCCGCTACTACGCGCTGACCGTCGTCTCCGTCGGCCTCCTCCTGCTGGCCGTTGTCCCGACCGCCATCTCGGCCCACGTCGCATCGACATCCGGCGTCGTGGCCGGCCTCGTCCTCATCTCACTCGGCGCCGGCTCGGGCATCACGACCACCCTCGTCGCCCTCCTCTCCAACGCCGCACCCGAGGACAGCGCCGTCGTCGTCGCCTGCAGCTACCTCTTCCGCTCCCTCGGCAGCAGCATCGGCGTCAGCGTCAGCGCCGCCGTCCTGCAGCAGGTCCTCCGCGACGAGCTCGCCGCCCGCCTCGGCGCCGGCGCCGACGGCGTCATCGAGCGCGTCCGCGAGAGCCTCGACTACATCCACGAGCTGCCGCCGGGGCTCGCCGCCGAGGTCCGCCACAGCTACCGCGTCGCCACCGTCGGCGCCATGGTGCCCACGGCGGCCTTTCTCGTGCTGGCCTTTGCCGCGGCCTTGTTCATCAAGGAGAAGACGTTGGAAAAGTGACGGACCACCGTACGCCCTCCCGGCATGGCCATTGTGCCGGTTTGCCAGTCTAAGGAATTTGCATGGTCCCAGAAGGTTCTCGTATGCAAGATTTCTCGTATGAGCGGGGTCCCCTCCCCACGACATCTGCTCGGGTAGTTCAAAACAACGAAAGCGACGAAACACATTGGGTTCTGGAATGTCCCTTCCTAGACGAACAATCTCAGCCTCTGTTGTGACTCCCGACCCACGAATCCGCGTGACACGTGCCAACAAGGCAGGCGACGCAACCTGACCAGGGCGGGCGTCCTTTGTTCTCGTCTTTCCGCCATGACGTCCGATGGTTCCGTGTCTTATCAGCCCTATGTCCGAGTCATATCCCCCCTCCCCCCTCAAATTTTGACATCATCCCGTCCCAGTCATAGCTCCTAGACCTTGCTTCGTCCAATGACGTTTAAGTTTTGCCCGCTGAATTGTCCTAGCACATCTCCCCCCCAGAAAAGACATCAAGATAGGACACGGCGGAAACGAATAGAATCATCTAGCAGCGTGGAGAACAGGGAGTTTGTAGGTAATCGCTCTGTATTCAAATGGCCACTATCTAATTTGCGCCGCGGATTCTACTGCGCCGTGCTGTATGTAGGCCTTGTCCCACCAGCCCCGGGCGTCGTTCATGACTCGTGATTGTGATGTGCTATGATTGTTGGTGTTATTTTTCGGTTTTTTTTTTCGTCTTGTCCCGAGGCCAGGCAGATAGATGTCCAATATCGTCCGACCGCGGGAGTCCTCGTTCTGGAAGAGAGTGCCAGGCGGAGGACCCGTGGGTATCCTGTGTTTTTCATCTTGTGCGTGTGCTGACCACCCGCCCCGTCTCCTCCTGGGCCAAGGGCCCACCCCTACAGGAAGCTTCTCCGCGGGAAGGCAACGCCCTCGACGGCGGCATTGTCGACGAACCAGCTGGCGCGATCGCCGGCGCCCTCGTTGACGAGGGTGCAGGGCAGACCGCTGGTCTCGTCAAAGATTTGCTTCATAATCTCCTTCTTGCCACCGCCCGTGGCAACAAAAGCGACCTTGACGGCGTGGGTGACGACGGGCAGGGTCAGGGTGACGCGCTTCGGAGGGGGCTTCGGGGAGTCCTCGATGGGCGATACCCAGGCGGACGTTTCGCGCAGGAGATCGTGACCGGGGAACAGCGAGCAGGTGTGGCCGTCGGGCCCGCAGCCGAGGAGCAGGAGGTCAAAGATGGGGAGGCGAACGCTGTCGCGCGAGGCGAAGCTCGTGACGAGGGTCTGTTCGTATTGATCGGCGAGCTCTTGGGTATCATCGAGGTGCGTCACATCGATGGGGTGCACCTTGGGCTGGCCCTGGTCGGTGGGGATCTTGTCGAGGAGCTCCGACTTGAGGAGGGCGTAGTTGGAATCTTCGTGGTCGAGGGGCACGGCGCGCTCGTCGGCGAAGAAGATCTCCCACTTGGAGAACTCGACGACATCGTCAGAGCCGCTGGACGGGGCGAGGAGGGCCTGCGCGAGGGTCTTGGGCAGAGAGCCGCCCGAGACGGCCACCTTGAAGACGTCATGACGATTGAGGCCAGCGTTTTGCGCCTGGATCACGTAGGACCGTAGAGCGGGTGCGAGGGCGCCGACATCGGGAAAGGCGTAGAGATTGGCTTGCTTGCCCATGATTTTTGGGGTTGGATGGTTGTTTACCGGTGGTAGGTGTGTGGCGGGGTGTGGATGGGTGACGGCTAACGGGAGTTGGACGGTGACGTGGGGTTACAGAAAAGATCTGCCACCACGAAGAGAGAGAGAGAGAGAGAGAGAGGGAGGGAGGGAGAGAGGTTCAGTGGTGAGTCGGTGAGGAGAGAAAGACTTGGGGAACGGTTGTGCGACGGTAGCTGAGGCGCTGAGGTGACCAAAGGAAGAATGACGGCGGGGAGAGGAAGAGTTGG